GGTGACAGAGATACGAGGGTTCAATGACCAACAGAAGGAGGAGTTCTTTAGGAAGAGATTCAGTGATGAGGACATGGCCAGCAGAATCATCTCACACATAAAGACATCAAGAAGCCTCTACATCATGTGCCACATACCAGTCTTCTGTTGGATCTCTGCCACTGTTCTAGAGACACTGTTGGGTGACGCACAGAGTGGAGAGATGCCCAAGACTCTGACTCAAATGTACAAACACTTCCTGTTCTTTACCACACTGCACAAAAAACGAAAATATCCAAAGGTACCGGAGAAAGTTGAGTCAGATTCACAGATGAAAACAGATGAGGAGATCATCCGGAAACTGGGAAAACTGGCTTTCAGACAGCTGGAAAAAGGGAATCTAATATTCTACGAGGAAGACCTGAGAGAGTGTGGCATTGATGTCACAGAAGCTTCCGTGTACTCAGGAGTGTGCACACAGATCTTCAGAGAGGAGAGTGGGCTGTACCAGGAGAAGCTGTACTGCTTTGTTCATCTGACTATCCAGGAGTTTCTGGGTGCTGTGTATGTGTTTGTCACATTCCACAACGACAGTTTAAATCTAATGGCAGAACCTGAAACCACCGACAGAAAACTTCAGATGTCTGAAGACAAACCTACAACCATCCTCCACAAGAGTGCAGTGGACAAGGCCTTACAGAGTGAGACGGGACACCTGGACCTGTTTCTCCGCTTCCTTCTGGGTCTCTCGCTGGAGTCCAATCAGACATTCCTACGAGGCCTACTGACACAGACAAGAATCAGCTCACAGACCAATGAGGAAACAGTCAAGTACATAAAGGAGAAGATCAGGGAGAATCCTTCTCCAGAGAGGTGCATCAATCTGTTCCACTGTCTGAATGAGCTAAATGACCATTCTCTTGTGGAGGAGATCCAAAGCTACCTGAGATCAGGAAGTCTCTCAGAAGCCAAACTCTCCCCTGCACAGTGGTCAGCTCTGGTCTTTGTGTTGCTGACTTCAGAAGAGGAACTGGATGTGTTTGACCTGAAGAAATACTCCAGATCAGAAGAATGTCTTCTGAGGCTGCTGCCAGTGGTCAAAGCCTCCAGGACAGCCATGTAAGTGTAGATTAATAATATTCTATTTTGAAGTAGATGCAGCTTCCATAAAGGAATTTAAATACTAAAATCTAAAGTTGACTTCAATATTCAGGTTACACCCATAATTGATAATAACAACAAACATCCCATTATTGAACATTTACTGATTATGATTTGTTTTATATCCTTTTAAGAAGAATGTTGAACTGTTTTCCCATTATCTAGGCTGAATGGATGTAACCTCACAGAGAGATGCTGTGAAGCGTTAGCCTCTGCTCTCAGTTCAAACTCCTCCAAGCTGAGAGAACTGGACCTGAGTGACAACGACCTGCAGGATTCAGGAGTGGAGCTGCTCTCTGCTGGACTGGGGAGTCCACACTGTAAACTGGAGACACTGAGGTCAGTATTTTCCTCTTTGTGTAGTGATCTTGGAGTAAAAAAAAAGTGTCTTAGATAGCAGGTAATACTTTGAAAGGGTGAGCACAAATAAGTCATTTTGAGAATTAAATTTTCCTTTCTGTAGGATGTCATTCTGTTTAGTCACAGAGGAAGGCTGTGCTTCTCTGGCTTCAGCTCTGAGGTCAAACCCCTCACACCTGAGAGAGCTGTACCTCACCCACAATTACCCAGGAGCCTCAGGAGTGGAGCTGCTCTCTGCTGTCGTGGAAGATCCACAATATAAACTGGAGAAACTCAGGTAAACACTAGAAGTCCTATACAACTAAATATACAGATTTTTTTTTTAGACATTAGATATAATAAGGCAACAGCCAACCCTCTCTGTGCTCAAAAAGAAAACCTTATATTATTAAGTTGTATTATTAAATTAAAATGTTATATTATTTACACTTGCAGCAGAATGTATCTTGAATACCTTTGATTTTTCGCCATGTCCACAAGGAGACAATTATTTATATAAATTGTTTTGCATCAAATGAGGTCTGGTTTATTTAAAATGTTGTCAAAATAAGGCCTAGGATTTCACTTGTCTAAAATCCAAAAAATTGTGTTTCTTCTTCTGATTCCTCAGTGTGGATCATAATTTCGAGTGTTGGTTAAAATCATCACTTAAGAAATGTAAGTCTGGGTGTAATGGGAGGTGGTTTGGAACACTGCTTATGACAAGACTTCATGCCTACTTCAACCTACTTGAACAGTCAAAATCATGTTCTTCATTCAATTGGATGATATTTGGATGAAAACAAGATCAAAGTAGGATGACCAAAGTATGAACAATTACTGTTTCTTCTACATTGATAAAGTTTGATCATAAAGTCACTGGTTCCTTCCCCGTGTCAAACACTTGGATTCAGAAGGTGGGATTATTAAGGGTGTTTTTTTTAAACATAACCGTAAAGCCTCTCATTTGAATACACCAATGGTAACGTCTTATTCTCTTACCTAATTTAAATAAGTACCGCCTTGTAACCAACATCGCAGAGGGGCGTGGTTTACACACCCTAAATATCTAGTCTACTAGGGCCAAAATGTGACTGTATGGTGTCAACAAATATAATTAGAGGTTTCCCCTATTCATCTATGGCAAAGATACAGTACTTATAGGTCTTCATCTGTGTCTGGTGTTAGCTGGCTAGCTAGGTCTTCATCTGTGTCTGGTGTTAGCTGGCTAGCTAGGTCTTCATCTGTGTCTGGTGTTAGCTGGCTAGCTAGGTCTTCATCTGTGTCTGGTGTTAGCTGGCTAGCTAGGTCTTCATATGTGTCTTGTGTTAGCTGGCTAGCTAGGTCTTCATCTGTGTCTGGTGTTAGCTGGCTAGCTAGGTCTTCATATGTGTCTGGTGTTAGCTGGCTAGCTAGGTCTTCATCTGTGTCTGGTGTTAGCTGGCTAGCTAGGTCTTCATCTGTGTCTGGTGTTAGCTGGCTAGCTAGGTCTTCATCTGTGTCTGGTGTTAGCTGGCTAGTTAGGTCTTCATCTGTGTCTGGTGTTAGCTGGCTAGCTAGGTCTTCATCTGTGTCTGGTGTTAGCTGGCTAGCTAGGTCTTCATCGGTGTCTGGTGTTAGCTGGCTAGCTAGGTCTTCATCTGTGTCTGGTGTTAGCTGGCTAGCTAGGTCTTCATCTGTCTGGTGTTAGCTGGCTAGCTAGGTCTTCATCTGTGTCTGGTGTTTAGACCTGCCTAAAATAAATAATGGACTTATTGTGATGGTGTATATTCAATTGATTTATTGACATCAGCGGCTTGTGTGTCTGGGGGGCCTGGAGATATGTCAATTGACGGTCAATTACCGTGAGACCGGCAGTCTTTTTTTTGCATGACAATAACCAACAAAATGACATGACAGCCCTAGCTACAGCTCGACATAGACCGACAAAAAACAGCGATATGGCCCTCAGTGATATTTTCTGTCGACTTTTATTAACTAGATTGATAGCCAGAACAACAATGACTAGCTGACTACGGATTCTGATTTGTCCGAATACTCCGGCCCACCCTTAGTATCTAGAACTCACCCTGTAATGTTTAGTTTTTAGTTGATTTGTGTATTCGGAAAAATTGGCTTGAGATAATCTCACTGTGTCCATGTTGCTTGACACAGGCGTTTACAAAGAACCGCCAGTCAAGGTGAGCAACCCCGCCCACTCAGTCTGTCTTTCCAGACTTCCTGGTAGTTTGACATGACAGGGGAAAAGTACTTTTTAAATATTATGGCTGATGTTTTAGTCACTCAAAAGTCTGGGATTCAGAATTACTTGTTCGGACCTTTTAACATAGCTCTCCCAGATTTGAGGTGAAATTGAATTGATAATTTTTTTTGTTTTTCCTGTCAGATGCCTGTGAATTGACACTGGATCCAAACACAGCATTCAAAAACCTCTCTCTGTCTGAGGAGAACAGAAAGGTGACACGGGTGGAAGAGGAGCAGACGTATCCTGACCACCCAGATAGATTTGAGAGCTGGGATCAGCTGCTGTGTAGAGAGGGTCTGACTGGACGCTGTTACTGGGAGGTGGAGTGGACGGGGCACGAGGTCCATGTTGGTGTAACATACAGCGGAATAGGAAGGGAAGGAAGGGGTCATGACTGTGGGCTCGGATACAATAACAAGTCCTGGACTCTTAGTTGTAATAATGATATTTACACTGCCAGGTACAATAAGAAGCCCATAACCGTACCTGACCACGCCTTCCGCTCCCACAGAGTAGGAGTGTATCTGGACTGGCCGGCCGGCACTCTGTCCTTCTACAGCGTTTCCTCTGACACAATGACCCACCTGCACACATTCCACTCCACATTCACTGAGCCCCTCTATCCGGCGTTTAGGATCTGGTACTGTGGCGCCTCTCTGTCCCTGTGTCAGGTATGTGAATAAAAATAAAGCCAGTATTTAAATGACAAATTAATTGTATGTTTGACAACCCAAACCGAATCTTGCGGGAGCTCTGGCCTCCGGCCAGTAACATTTTGAATGTTTCCATCTGTCACAAGTTTAATTGAACTGTAATGCACTTTAAAAGCTTAGATGTAGTTTGCGTGTATCCGTTGTGCACTTATCAGGAGTATTTGTATTAGTTATTAAAGTATCGAACTGTCATCACTTTGTATCAGTATTTTGAGTTCAGTTATATGTTGCACTGTAGGAGTATGTAAAAATTGTTGTCCTGGGATTTGACATTTTGAGTTCTAGATATTTAAGTTATTTAAAAGAGCCTTGTTTTGTAGTGCAAACTTTGATGATACAATAACAATTTTGTGTGTGAAGATTCTGACATTAAACCTGAGTTTTATTCTTGGATTGCTGATTCGCTCATTCCTGCCTGCCTGAACAGCAAAGTCAATTAATTAATTTAGCTGTGGATTTAAAATACAATGAATGTTATGTGTTGTATCAATGTAAAACTACACCACAAAGGAAGATTCCTTAAAAAAAGAAAAACACATTCACTCAATCAGGGAGAAAGAGAGATGCAGGAGGGGTTGGGGAGTAATGTAGTGATGTTTGCGAGTGAATTCGTTTTTCCATTGAACATGTACAGTACATTTACATTCCATTGAATTATTTTTTGATTTTATATGCCAAAGAAAATGAAAGCGTGTTTTGGTTTGTTTCCTATCTAATAAACAAACAAGTCATTTTCTGGTTCCAGGTTAATCCTTTTTTACTCAGAAAAGTAACTGTCAAAATGTACTCAGACCCCACAGGGTATAGGACCGACCACATGTTTTGTTCCACTAGGACCGACCACATGTTTTGTTCCACTAGGACCGACCACATGTTTTGTTCCACTAGTGCTTATGCTTGATGATGCGCCCATAGAAACACAGTCATCTGGAAAGTGAAACTGCACATTACCTGACGTAGTAGCTGGCACGCATCTGATCGAACTAAGGTAGGGTTTAAAACCCCTTTTAATGTTAAAACCATCAATGTTTGTTACTGCAGAACTGTGCACTCCAGGGGTTTGTCTTAAATAGGCTCTAGGGGTTTGTCTTAAATAGGCTCTAGGGGTGTGTCTTAAATAGGTGCTAGGGGTGTGTCTTAAATATACTCTAGGGGTGTGTCTTAAATAGGCTCTAGGGGTGTGTCTTAAATAGGTGCTAGGGGTGTGTCTTAAATAGGCTCTAGGGGTGTGTCTTAAATAGGCTCTAGGGGTGTGTCTTAAATAGGTGCTAGGGGTGTGTCTTAAATATACTCTAGGGGTGTGTCTTAAATAGGCTCTAGGGGTGTGTTTTAAATAGGTGCTAGGGGTGTGTCTTAAATATACTCTAGGGGTGTGTCTTAAATAGGCTCTAGGGGTGTGTCTTAAATAGGCTCTAGGGGTGTGTCTTAAATAGGCTCTAGGGGTGTGTCTTATATAGACTCTAGGGGTGTGTCTTAAATAGGCTCTAGGGGTGTGTCTTATATAGACTAGGGGTGTGTCTTAAATAGGCTCTAGGGGTGTGTCTTAAATAGGCTCTAGGGGTGTGTCTTATATAGACTCTAGGGGTGTGTCTTAAATAGGCTCTAGGGGTGTGTCTTAAATATACTCTAGGGGTGTGTCTTATACTCTAGGGGTGTGTCTTATATAGACTAGGGGTGTGTCTTAAATAGGCTCTAGGGGTGTGTCTTAAATAGGATCTAGGGGTGTGTCTTATATACTCTAGGGGTGTGTCTTATATAGACTAGGGGTGTGTCTTATATCGACTCTAGGGGTGTGTCTTATATAGACTCTAGGGGTGTGTCTTATATAGACTCCAGGGGTGTGTCTTAAATAGGCTCTAGGGGTGTGTCTTAAATAGGCTCTAGGGGTGTGTCTTAAATAGGTGCTAGGGGTGTGTCTTATATACTCTAGGGGTGTGTCTTATATAGACTAGGGGTGTGTCTTATATAGACTGTGCACTCTAGGGGTGTGTCTTATGTACAGTACTTTAGTTTACGTGACAACATAAAAAACTTTACTGTGAATATCTTGCTGACTCGACGATGATATTGAACCTTACAGAGATAACATACACACTATACACACATGGATTTAGTGTTATAGATATGTGGTAGTAGAGTAGAGGCCTGAGGGCACACACTTAATACGTTGTGAAATCTGTTCTGAATGTATTGTAATGTTTTTAAAAATGTATAACTGCCTTCATTTTGCTGGACAGCAGGAAGAGTAGCTGCTGCCTTGGCAATGGGGATCCATAATAAATATAAATGCAAATACAGCCAGTGGCTCATCATGTGGTTGCTAGGAAGCCGACAGCATGCTAGGTAGTGCAAATTATGTGTGTAAACCCTGGATGACTGACAGGGGGCGCTGTGTTAAAGCCATCTTGGAAACGATAGAAATGCATTTATTAAATGTCTACATTTGTTTTTGACACGTTTATTCTACACATGAATGCACACTTTCAAATTATATTATGTGAGCTAAACATAAAAATACATTATTAAAAAAATATATATAAAAACTTTTTCCTTAAAGTATCGTTTTTTTACACACTACTAATGTTACTGTTACCAAGCTACTTACCTATTGCAGATTCAGTCTTCCCAGCCTGGTGCAGGTCTACAATTTTGTTTCTGGTGTCCTTTGACAGCTCTTTGGCCTTGGCCATAGTGGAGTTTGGAGTGTGACTGTTTGAGGTTGTGGACAGGTGTCTTTTATACTGATAACAAGTTCAAACAGGTGCCATTAATACAGGTAACGAGTGGAGGACAGAGGAGCCTCTTAAAGAAGAAGTTACAGGTCTGTGAGAGCCAGAAATCTTGCTTGTTTGTAGGTGACCAAATACTTATTTTCCACATATAAAAACTTTTTCCTTAAAGTATCGTTTTTTACAGACTACTAATGTTACTGTCCCCACTACAACAACAATATTAAATACATGTAATTTTGTCCTTGAAACATTTAATTGAAATACTGTAGAATGAGTTCCTACTGTGCAATGCCAATATGGCGTCAAGGCCTCTCAATGGCCAATGCATAGCATCAGCAATACAGGTCAAAAGATTTAGCTGAGTTACAGTTCATAAAAGGAAATCAGTCAATTGAAATAAATTCAATAAATCTATGGGATTTCACGACTGGGCAGGGGCGGAGCCGTGGTTGGGCCTGGGAGGGCATAGGCCCACCCACTGGGGAGCCAGGCCCAGCCAATCCCTCCCCCCTCTCAGACGATCCCACAAGTGAAGAAGCCGGATGTGGAGGTCCTGGGCTGGCGTGGTTACACGTGGTCCGTGGTTGTGAGGCTGGTCGGTTGGACGTACTGCCAAATTCTCTAAAACGACATTGGGGGCAGCTTATGGTAGAGAAATGAACATTCTGGCAACAGCTCTGATGGACATTCCTGCAGTCAGCATCTTAATTGCACGCTCCCTGAAAACATAAGACATCTGTGGCATTGTGTTGTGTGACAAAACTGTACATTTTTAGAGTGGCTCATGAAACATGGGACCAGCACTTTACGTGTTGCATTTATATTTTTGTTCAGTGTACATCATCTGGTGGTGCTAGGTATCAACAGCCAATCCAGCAGGGTCTGGAAGCTATACTGAGCTTCGATTGGTCAATCGGGCCACGATAGCGCTGAGCATTTGCATAAAGTTTAGCTTTAAATGTAACAGGATAAAATGTTGTAGGATCTCTGTGTACTGAGACTTGGTTCTTCGTTACAAAACTGGGAGTGTTCAGAATCCCTGTCAGTGACAGCTCATGCTAATGATTGACAGCTCGTCTTCTACAGATGCAGTCTTCATTCGCACACGTCATGCCTCAGCTGATGAACTGTCACATTACATTTTAGTCATTTAGCAGACACTCTTATCCAGAGCGACTTACAGTTAGTGCATACATTTTCACAGAAGCTGTTTTTCAGTCTTTCGGTCCCAGCTTTGATGCACCTGTACTGACCTCGCCTTCTGGATGATAGCGGGGTGAACAGGCAGTGGCTCGGGTGGTTGATGTCCTTGATGATCTTTTTGGCCTTCCTGTGACATTGAGTTCTGTAGGTGTCCTGGAGGGCGGTAATGACCGCACCACCCTCTGGAGAGCCTTGGGGTTGCGGGCGGTGCAGTTGCCGTATCAGGCGGTGATACAGCCCGACAGGATACTCTCAATTGTGCATCTGTAAAAGTTTGGGATGGTTTTAGGTGCCAAGCCAAATTTCTTTAGACTCCTGAGGTTGAAGAGGCTCTGTTGCGCCTTCTTCACCACACTGTCTGTGTGGGTGGACCATTTCAGATTGTCAGGGATGTGTACGCCAAGGAACTTGAAGCTTTTCACCTTCTCCACTGCGGTCCCGTCGATGTGAATAGGGGGGTGCACCCTCTACTGTTTCCTGAAGTCCACGATCATCTCCTTTGTTTTGTTGACGTTGAGTGAGAGGTTATTTTCCTGGCACCACACTCCCAGAGCCCTCACCTCCTCCCTGTAGGCTGTCTCGTCATTGTTGGTAATCAAGCCTACTACTGTTGTGTCGTCTGCAAACTTGATGATTGAGTTGGAGGCGTGCTTGGCCACGCAGTCATGGGTGAACAGGGAGTACAGGAGTGGGCTGAGCACGCACCCTTGTGGGGCCCCAGTGTTGAGGATCAGCGAAGTGGTGGTGTTGTTTTCTACCTTCACAACCTGGGGGCGGCCCGTCAGGAAGTCAAGGAACCAGATGCACAGGGCGGGGTTCAGACCCAGGGCCCAGAGCTTAATGATTAGCTTGGAGGGTACTATGGTGTTGAATGCTGAGCAATAGTCAATGAACAGCATTCTTACATAGGTATTCCTCTTGTCCAGATGGGATAGGGCAGTGTGCAGTGTGATGGCGATTGTATCGTCTGTGGATCTATTGGGGCGGTAAGCAAATTGAAGTGGGTCTAGGGTGTCAGGTAAGATTGAGGTGATATGATCCTTGACTAGTCTCTCAAAGCACTTCATGATGACAGAGGTGAGTGCTACGGGGCGATAGTCATTTAGTTCAGTTACCTTCGCTTTCTTGGGTACAGGAACAATGGTGGCCATCTTGAAGCATGTTGGGACAGCAGACTGGGATAGGGAGAGATTGAATATGTCCATGAACACACCAGCCAGCTGGTCTGCGCATGCTCTGAGGACGCGGCTAGGGATGCCGTCTGGGCCGGCAGTCTTGCGAGGGTTAACACGTTTAAATGTTTTACTCACGTCGGCCACGGACGTGTACATTTAAGGGCCAGCCGTGCTGCCCTGTTCTGAGCCAATTGTATTTTTCTGAGGTCCCCCTTTGTGGCACCTGACCACACGGCTGAACAGTAGTCCAGGTGCGACAAAACTAGGGCCTGTAGGACCTGCCTTGTTGATAGTGTTGTTAAGAAGGTAGAGTAGCGCTTTATTATAGACAGACTTCTCCTCATCTTAGCTACTGTTGTATCAACATGTTTTGACCATGACAATTTACAATCCAAGGTAACTCCAAGCAGTTTAGTCACCTCAACTTGCTCAATCTCCACATGATTTATTTCAAGATTTAGTTGAGGTTTAGGGTTTAGTGAATGATTTGTCCCAAATACAAATATTTAGGACTAACTTATTCCTTGCCACCCATTCTGAAAGCAATTGTAGCTTTTTGTTAGTCTGCTGATGAAAATGAAAGTAACTGTAGCTCGGTGTAGTAGCTGACGTGTATAGTGTTAAGTAATCAGCATATACAGTGGGGGAAAAAAAGTATTTAGTCAGCCACCAATTGTGCAAGTTCTCCCACTTAAAAAGATGAGAGAGGCCTGTCATTTTCATCATAGGTACACGTCAACTATGACAGACAAATTGAGAAAAAAAATTCCAGAAAATCACATTGTAGGATTTTTTATGAATTTATTTGCAAATTATGGTGGAAAATAAGTATTTGGTCACCTACAAACAAGCAAGATTTCTGGCTCTCACAGACCTGTAACTTCTTCTTTAAGAGGCTCCTCTGTCCTCCACTCGTTACCTGTATTAATGGCACCTGTTTGAACTTGTTATCAGTATAAAAGACACCTGTCCACAACCTCAAACAGTCACACTCCAAACTCCACTATGGTCAAGACCAAAGAGCTGTCAAAGGACACCAGAAACAAAATTGTAGACCTGCACCAGGCTGGGAAGACTGAATCTGCAATAGGTAAGCAGCTTGGTTTGAAGAAATCAACTGTGGGAGCAATTATTAGGAAATGGAAGACATACAAGACCACTGATAATCTCCCTCGATCTGGGGCTCCACGCAAGATCTCACCCCGTGGGGTCAAAATGATCACAAGAACGGAGAGCAAAAATCCCAGAACCACACGGGGGGACCTAGTGAATGACCTGCAGAGAGCTGGGACCAAAGTAACAAAGCCTACTATCAGTAACACACTACGCCGCCAGGGACTCAAATCCTGCATTGCCAGACGTGTCCCCCTGCTTAAGCCAGTACATGTCCAGGCCCGTCTGAAGTTTGCTAGAGTGCATTTGGATGATCCAGAAGAGGATTGGGAGAATGTCATATGGTCAGATGAAACCAAAATAGAACTTTTTGGTAAAAACTCAACTCATCGTGTTTGGAGGACAAAGAATGCTGAGTTGCATCCAAAGAACACCATACCTACTGTGAAGCATGGGGGTGGAAACTTCATGCTTTGGGGCTGTTTTTCTGCAAAGGGACCAGGACGACTGATCCGTGTAATGGAAAGAATGAATGGGGCCATGTATCGTGAGATTTTGAGTGAAAACCTCCTTCCATCAGCAAGGGCATTGAAGATGAAACGTGGCTGGGTCTTTTAGCATGACAATGATCCCAAACACACCTCCCGGGCAACGAAGGAGTGGCTTCGTAAGAAGCATTTCAAGGTCCTGGAGTGGCCTAGCCAGTCTCCAGATCTCAACCCCATAGAAAATCTTTGGAGGGAGTTGAAAGTCCGTGTTGCCCAGCGACAGCCCCAAAACATCACTGCTCTAGAGGAGATCTGCATGGAGGAATGGGCCAAAATACCAGCAACAGTGTGTGAAAACCTTGTGAAGACTTACAGAAAACGTTTGACCTGTGTCATTGCCAACAAGGGGTATATAACAAAGTATTGAGAAACTTTTGTTATTGACCAAATACTTATTTTCCACCATAATTTGCAAATAAATTCATAAAAAATCCTACAATGTTATTTTCTGGATTTTTTTTCCTCATCTTGTCTGTCATAGTTGACATGTACCTATGATGAAAATTACAGGCCTCTCTCATCTTTAAGTGGGAGAACTTGCACAATTGGTGGCTGACTAAATACTTTTTTTCCCCACTGTATAGACACACTGGCTTTACTCAAAGACAGTGGCATGTCATTAGTAAAGAATGAAAAAGTAAGGGGCCTAGACAGCTGCCCCGGGGAATTCCTGATTCTACCTGGATTTGTGTTGGAGAGGCTTCCATTGAAGAACACCCTCTGTGTTCTGTTAGACAGGTAACTCTTTATGCACAATATAGCAGGGGGTGTAAAGCCATAACACAAATTTTTCCATCAGCAGACTATGATCAATAATGTCAAAAGCCACGCTGAAGCTCCCACAATCTTTTTATTATACATTTCTCTCAGCCAATCATTAGTCATTTGTGAAAGTGCAGTGTTTGTTGAATGTCCTTCCCTAAAAGCGTGCTAAAAGTCTGTTGTCAATTTGTTTACAGTAAAATAAACAAAAAAAAATCAAAAAGTTTACAAAGGGTTGGTAACAGGCTTATTGGTCTGCTATTTGAGCCAGTAAAGGGGGCTTTACTATTCTTGGGTAGCAGAATTATTTTTGCTTCCCTCCAGGCCTGAGGGCACCCACTTTCTAGTAGGCTTAGATTGAAGATATGGCAAATAGGAGTGGCAATATCGTCCGCTATTGTCCTCAGTCATTTTCATTCCAAGTTGTCAGATACCGGTGGCTTGTCTTTGTTGATAGACAACAATAATTGTTTCACCTTTTCCACAATCACTTTACGGAATTCAAGATTACAATACTTGTCTTTCATAATTTGATCAGTTATGCTTGGATGTGTAGTGTCAGTGTTTGTTGCTGGCATGTTATGCCTAAGTTTGCTAATCTTGCCAATGAAAAAATGTATAAAGTAATTGGCAATATCAGTTGGTTTTGTGATGAATGATCCATCTGATTCAATGAATGATGGAGCTGAGTTTGCCTTTTTCCCCCAAAATTTAATTTAAGGTGCTCCAAAGGAAAAAGGATGTTTGCAGCCAATACTGGATACATTTTGAACAGCTCTGAATTTAGGTTATCAGGACCTGAAGCTTTTCCATTCTTGATTACAGTGATCTTCTCTCTAGTTGGTGGGTCAGTGTTGGTGTCAAGATCTTCTGGAGCAGCTTTCTGGTGTGGTAATTGGATCCGCAGGAAAGATCCTCTCTGAAGTGTTCTGTCCATCTTGCCTCCTGTTCCTTTTCTGTAGTCAGACGATTGCCTTGCTCGTCTTTGATTAAGGTGTTTGCCTTGAATCTTTTGCCACAGATTAGGTTAGTGATTTTGTAGACTGTTCCTTGATAGATGATTTTCCAGGTAGGCCCTTTTGTCCCTTCTCCTTTTGACTTGTGGATAAATCTTTCTGTACTGTTCCTCACATTTTGTTTCAGCCTTGTGATTTGTTGTGCATTTTGCAAATGCAAATCAATTTATAACATTTTTGACATGCGTTTTTCTGGATTTTTTGTTGTTATTCTGTCTCTCACTGTTCAAATAAACCTACCATTAAAATTATAGACTGATCATGTCTTTGTCAGTGGGCAAACAAAATCAGCAGGGGATCAAATACTTTTCCCCCCTCACTGTACACGAAGGGCAAGTGTCAGTAACATGCATGTCAATCTCTCCTGGCTCAAAGTTGAGGAGAGATTGATTGCATCGCTGTTGGTCTTTGTGTGAGGTGTTGATGGGTTGAAGATACCGAACTGTCTGTTCAAGCAGTTCGGACACTCATCAGTACAATAATAATAATATAATAATAAACTGTACAACACAAGACATGCAACCAGAGGTCTCTTCACTGTCCCCAGGTCCAGAACAGAGGCTGGGAAACGCAGTATTTAATAGAGCCATGACTACATGGAACTCTCTGCCACCCTAGGTAACTCAAGCTAGCAATAAAAACCGATTCAAAAACCAGATAAAATAACATCTTACGGCACGACGGGGACTGTGAAGAGACACACACATTTTATGTATATCGTATTGCAATTTGCACTGTATTATGTATTAGATCTAGATATTGTGTGTATATACTGACATGTAAGCTATGTGTGACGTTTTAAATGTATGTAGTTCAGTCGTTGACTAATAATGTTCTGTACTATGTATTATGTAATGTTTCATGTGGACCCCAGGAAGAGTAGCTGACGCTTTTACAGCAGCTAATGGGGATCCATAATAAATACTAAAACACTAAATCTCTCCACATCCGTGTTTCCCCATTGCTCTTTCACAGCTGGTGTTGTCGGAGCCAACCTTTGCATTAATGATGAGGAGCAGGTCCTGGGCAGGTTTCTTCATCCTTGGTATCGTTTGTGCACTCTTAGAAAAATATAGTTCAAAAAGGGTTCTTCAGCTGTCCCCATAGGAGAACCCTTTTTGGTCCCAGGTAGAACCAAAAACCCAGCCAAACTGAGAAATCGGGGGAGAAGGGCCTTGGTCAGGGATGTGACCAAGAACCCGATGGTCACTGACAGAGCTCCAGAGTTCTTCTGTGGAGATGGGAGAACCTTCCAGAAGGAGAACCATCTCTGCAGCACTCCACCAATCAGGCCTTTATGGTAGAGCGGCCAGACGGAAGCCACTCCTCAGTAAAAGGCACGACAGCCCTCTTGGAGTTTGCCAAAAGGCACCCAAAGGAATCTCAGACCATGAGAAACAAGATTCTCTAGTCTGATGAAACCAAGATTGAACTCTTTGGCCTGAATGCCAAGCGTCATGTCTGGAGGAAACCTGGCACCATCCCTACGTTTAAACATGGTGGTGGCAGCATCATTGCTGTGGGGATGTTTTTCAGCGGCAGGGACTGGGAGACTAGTCAGGATTGAGGGAAAGATGAACGGAGCAAAGTATAGAGAGATCCTTGATGAAAACCTGCTCCAGAGTGCTCAGGACCTCAGACTGGGGCGAAGGTTCACCTTCCAACAGGACAACGACCTAAGCACACAGCCAAGACAACGCAGGAGTGCCTTTGGGACAAGTCTCTGAATGTCCTTGAGTGGCCCAGCCAGAGCCCAGAC